CGCGACATTAAAAAGGTTGAGAACCACTGTTCCAGCCAGTCTGTTCAGTAAATTGTTGCAGGTTTTCAATTTTGCAGCTGTTTTTCTAAGTGTTGTCAGATCTCTCCAGTGTTATGCCAGGTACTTTGGATAATTATTACATTGTAAAATACAGTTCTGGAATTTCACTGAAGGATAGTAATTTGCATACCTATTGCTGACATGGAATGTAGCTACTTTTGTTTTTGTTAGGCTTGATTGGAGGCAGCATTTTTTGAAGAAGTCATCCAGCTTCTGGAGAACTTGAGAAAGGATGTCCTCGGCATCACTGAAGTTTGTTCTTTGGACTGTGAGATTGATATCATCGGCATAAATAAATTTCCAAGAAACGGTTTCAAGCAGGTCGTGTTATTCAACTGAAAATATCTATGTCTACTGAATTCTGTGAAAAACTTGAAAGAACCTATTATTCAACATGTCAATCTAGGCAATGGAGTTACGACAAGGTACCTTGATTAGTTTGAGGAGAAGTCCTTCTCTCCAGACAGTATTGTAGGCCAACGAGACATCAAGAAAAACAGTGACATTTTTCATTTTGTCTTGGAATCCATTCTCCAGGTAGGAAGTTAATACAATGACTTGATTGCTACAATCACATTTGGGGGTAAAATCCAGCTTGTTCTTGTCAGGTCCCCTTTTTCAGGTGTCCTGCCATTCTGGTGGAGGGGGAGGAGGTCCACTTTGGGGAGGCATTCTTTGCATACATTTGCTTCTGTTGTAGTGCTGTACTTATTTGGGAAATGGGGAGGGGGATCGCCTTCAGAGATGGGACGGACTCCTTCCCACCTAGTTTCAGTATGCTACGAAGGTTGCTTTGCCCTGAAGATGAACCACTATCTATCCTGTACTTTGGTGTTCTCAAAACAACCTTGCAACACTGTATTGGCTGCTGGTGGACTGGTGAGGGTTTCAGTGTGGGAAGAATAGCTTGTTGCTTTGTGTGGGAATGTTAGATTCCACTTGGCTCTACTGCAACCACTACATCTCAGTAAAAGTTATTTTGATTAACTAGTCAAGAGTCGTGTTTCCTGAGGGGGCTGCTCGGGCAGGTCCCTACATTAACCAGAATCTGCAATAGTGGTCAACATGGAGAGGCTTTTACCTCTACCGTGGGAACTGTGCAAGGCAGAGAGCAAGAGGAAGCTGAGTGCTGGGGGAAGTCCCCACAGCGGACCTCTCCGAATGGACAGAGGCCGCCAACCTAGGGGACTCATCGAAACCCAGGTGGTCCACTCATGTCAGGAAGAATGACTAGGAAGGGAGGACTAAGAAAGTGATTCTCACCCAATGCAGCCAGGGGCGCGAATGGCAAACAGACCTAGAAGAACTTCAATTTGAGGAGGAAGAAAGTAGCAAGGTCAACCATGATGAGGATATCTTCAGGCCAGTCAAGGCAGCATGCCAGATCACAGAATTCCTCGATGTACTCCATCACAGTTCTTAGCCCTGCCTCATGGTCTTAATGCGGTCTCTGGCTTTCTGGTCACCCAGGGGGTCCTCGAAGGAAGCTATGCACACCATCATGGAAGTGTTCCAGAGCCTTAAAGTTAGTGGAACCCTGGCAAAGAAAACCTCGGCGGAGGCTCATCAAACCCAAGAAGATGACAGCATGAGAGCTTCTCCATTAAACACCACCGCAGGAATGCCAGCAACCCCGGCTGGGGCAGAGGCAATGGCAGGACCCACACAAAGGGATCCCACCAATGTAACAGGAGGTGGCAAAGGAGGTGCCCATAGAAGGAAGGCCCCTAGGGGTGATGTTTGATGGGGATTCCCAGTAGCTGGGATTTTTCCTGGCCACATCCTAACTTACATGCAGGAGTAGAGGTCAGACAACCCCACTAAAGGCACTAAAGTGAAGTGTGTCATGCTGGCATTGGATGGGGCAGCTGCCCACTGGATGGTAACCCTCCACAATGCAAATGATTCCGAGCTGAGTAAATTTAATCATTTTTTTTATTGAAAATTTTTAAGATTTTACAATAACAAAAACAAAACAATTTTCCCCATCCCTCCCCAACCCTCCCCCTCCCTCCCCCGACTATCCCAGAGCTGGATATAGGCTTAATTAAAATTTCTTCAAAAAGTCTTAAGAAAAATATAAAATATAAGTAAATCTAGATACATTACTTAAACAAATTACAAAATAATTAACAACAATATATATATAGCAAAAAAAAACATAAATACCAGAAAAAAAAGGAAAAAAAAAGAAATACATGAAAAACATAAGAAAGAGATTAACTTTTCAATGTAAGTTATAAAACTGTAAACAAATCTAAATACATTACTTAAACAAATTATAAAATAATTAAGAGTAAAATATATATATAAAAAAGATAAGTACAAAAACAAAAAAAGGAAAAAAAATAGAAAAAGGGAAAGAAGAAAAAAAAATAAGAAAGAAAAAAATTTGGCTTTTCAAGAAAGTTAACTTTTCAATATAAATTATTAAAAAGCTAAATAATATTTTTTAATATCCATCTTATGTTGTATAAAGTCTATCCATTTCCTCCATACCACAACATACTTCTCTTGTGATTGATCCTTCAGGAAGGCCGAAATCTTTGCCATTTCTGCCAAATAAGAAACTTTAAAAAGCCACTCTTGCAAAGTAGGCAAAGATTCCTTCTTCCAACATTGTGCTACTAACAACCTTGCAGCTGTAATTAAGTTTAACATCAATGTAATATCTTTAGTATCACAATCAGTAACAATACCTAATAAAAACAATTGTGGGGTAAATTTTACCCTTCTTCTAAAAATTCTTTGAATATTCCACCATATCTTAATCCAAAAAACTTTTATATTTTTACACAACCACCAGATATGATAGTATGTAGCATCCAAACATCCGCACCTCCAACATTTAGGCTGTAGATCGGGATACATACGAGACATTTTTTGTGGATCAAGGTGCCATCTATAAAACATTTTATAAAAATTCTCCCTTAAATTTTGGGCTTGCGTAAATTTAACATTCCTCACCCAAATAGTTTCCAGGTATCTAGTAGAACCGGTTCATCAAAGTTTTGTGCCCATTTGATCATACATTCTTTGACTAACTCTGCTTCTGAGTTCAATTCTACTAGGACCCCATAAATTCTCTTAATGTGAGTTCGTCTTTGATCTTTTATTTGTTTAAACAAATTCTCATTTTCTCTAAGCAAACCCACCTTCCGATCTATCTTCCACCTATCCACTATTTGTCTATACTGAAACCATGAATATATAATATTTTCCTGTGCTAAATCTTCCATAGATTTTAACTGCCAATTTTTACCATCCCATCTAAGTAATTGTGCATAAGAAACTATCCATCCTAACCCCTCTCCTTATCCCTTCTATCGCATGCCATGGAATAGCCCATAATGGAATTTTAAAATTATTTCTATAATATTTCCTCCAAACCCGAAGTAAAGAAGTCCTCATAATATGAGATTTAAAAGCCCTATCAACCTTTTTATTAAAAATTAGATAGGCATGCCATCCAAAAAGTAAATCCCAACCCTCCAAGAGGAGTATTTCCACATTTGTTAAATTAACCCAATACTTATTAATGTTAAAACCACAGCATCATAATACAACTTCAAATTCGGTACCTTGAGTCCACCTCTCTCACGAATATCTTGTATAATTTTAAGTTTTACTCTAGGTTTCCTCCCTGCCCAGATAAATTTGTTAATACCTTTCTGCCATTCATCTAAGTTAACCTCATTCTTTAAAATGGGTATCATTTGAAATAAAAAAAGAAACTTTGGCAACACATTCATTTTAATCGCTGCAATTCTTCCCAAAAGAGATAATTGCAACTTTTCCCAATTTTTCATGTCTCTTTGTATATTGACCCACAGCCTTTCATAATTATTTTTATACAGTTTTGCATTAGAAACAGATAAAGTAACCTCCAGGTACTTTACCTTATTAACAACCTCAAAATCTGTCAGATTAACCAACATCTGCTTATCCAGATCAGTCATATTTTTAGGCAATATTTTAGTCTTATTATTATTAATTTTGAAACCCGAAACTCGTCCATATTGATATATCAATTGTAATAACTCTATTACAGAATAAGTAGGTTGAGATAAGGTAACCACCAAATCATCTGCAAAAGCCCTTAGTTTATATTCTTTTTTATTAACTCCTATTCCTTTTATTTGCTGTGAATCTCGAATTTTAATCAGCAATATTTCCAAAGTTAAAACAAACAGCAACGGTGACAGTGGACAACCCTGTCTAGTCCCCTTCTCTATTGTAAACACCTCTGACAAACCCCCATTGACTATAAGTTGTGCCGTTTGTTTTTGATAAATAACACCGAGAGCTTGTAAAAAATTTTCTCCAAAATTCATTTTCTCAACTAATCTTAACATAAATTGCCAATTCAATTGATCAAAAGCTTTTTCAGCATCTAAAAATATCAATCCTGCAGGAATTTGATTATTTTTGTCTAAATATTCTAATAAATTAATAATTTGCCTAACATTATTCTTCATATACCTTCCAGTTATAAAACCTGTTTGATCTGTATGTATAACATAATGCAAAACCCTCATAAGCCTATTAGCTAAAATTTTTGCAAAGATCTTGTAATCTACATTTAAGAGAGATATAGGTCTGTAATTCTTTGGTAAGGTAAGATCTTGATCCTCTTTTGGAATTAAAGATATAAAAGCTCTGCCCCGTGACGGGGGAATCTGAGAACCCTGTAGTATGTTATTAAAAAGCTCGGTTAAAGGTTGAATCATTTCTTGTACCGGAATTTTATAAAAAGTAGATGTCAAACCATCTGTACCTGGTGCTTTACCTAATTTTAATTCTTTAATCACCTTCTCAATTTCCGCACTGGTAATCAAACCATTAATTTCTTGTTTTTGAAGTTCTGTTAATTTGGGGAAATTGGCTCCATTTAAGTAGTTATCTATATCTAAAATCTGCACCTTAGTACTCTTGTATAATTTTTGATAATATTCTAAAAAAGATTTCTTAATCAAATTCTTCTGGTAAACCAATTTACCATTATAGTTTATTTTATCTATAATTCTCTGTCTCTGTTTCTTTCTCAATTGATAAGCCAATCATCTCCCTGGTTTATTAGCATTACAAAATGTATTTTGTTTCATATATAATAAATTAGTTGCAGTTTGATCAGCCATCAACATATTAAATTGTGATTTAAGCAATTTTATAGATTCTTTAACCTTCTCATCTGTAGGATTTGAAATCAAAATTTTTTCTTTTAATTTAATCTCGCCTTCCAATCCATTACATTTCTGAGTCTGCT